TGCGAATTTGGGGCAATAATACTTTAGTGAAACACTACAGAATCCCTTGTCTTAAACATGCATGCATTTCTTTTTCAAATTTTGAACACTATCAAGTCTTTCAGTCCACCGATGAGCCGCGCGCTGTGGACTTGCGGGAAATATTGTGTTCACGGTGTAAACAACTCCGAAACATACCTCAACATCCATACAGCGTGAAGATGCATTCAATACAGATACATTCAGTGAGTGACGGCCACATCGTGAGAGGAGAGGACACTGGGCTCTGTTCAAGTAGAATGAACTTGGCGGAGAGAAAATGGTGAGATATAGAGTATAGAGGAGATGAAAACAGTGCTGGCACACGGCGTATCAATGGACGAGACATGAAAACCACCGCTGGGAGACCTCCATGGGGTCAGGGCACCGACTGATTTACTTGGTTGCCTGGGCAATGGCACGACCCTCGCTGCAGGGCCCACGCCACAGCTCCGTATAGCCCCATACAACACATATAGAATTAATGCCTTTTAGCCCCATACAACGCGTATATATTTAAGGCCTTTTAGCCCCATTAAACAAGTACAGATTTAAGGCCTTTTAGCCCCATGAAACAAGTACAGATTTAAGGCCTTTTAGCCCCATTAAACAAGTACAGATTTAAGGCCTTTTAGCCCCATACAACGCGTACGATTTAAGGTCTTTTAGCCCCATAAAACGCATAGAGATTTAAGGCCTTTTAGCCACATGAAACAAGTACAGATTTAAGGAATTTTAGCCCCATTAAACAAGTACAGATTTAAGGCCTTTTAGCCCCATACAACGCGTACGATTTAAGGTCTTTTAGCCCCATACAACGCATAGAGATTTAAGGCCTTTTAGCCACATGAAACAAGTAAAGATTTAAGGCCTTTTAGCCCCATACAACGCGTACGATTTAATGTCTTTTAGCCCCATACAACGCATAGAGATTTAAGGCCTTTTAGCCACATACAACGCGTACGATTTAAGGTCTTTTAGCCCCATAAAACGCATAGAGATTTAAGGCCTTTTAGCCACATGAAACAAGTACAGATTTAAGGCCTTTTAGCCCCATTAAACAAGTACAGATTTAAGGCCTTTTAGCCCCATACAACGCGTACGATTTAAGGTCTTTTAGCCCCATACAACGCATAGAGATTTAAGGCCTTTTAGCCACATGAAACAAGTACAGATTTAAGGCCTTTTAGCCCCATACAACGCGTACGATTCAATGTCTTTTAGCCCCATACAACGCATAGAGATTTAAGGCCTTTTAGCCACATACAACGCGTACGATTTAAGGTCTTTTAGCCCCATACAACGCATAGAGATTTAAGGCCTTTTAGCCCCATATAACGCGTAGAGATTTATGGCCTTTCAGCCCCATACAACGCTTAGAAATTTAAGTCCTTTTAGCCCCATACAACACGTACAGATTTAAGGCCTGATTATAAAATTAAATTAAGTTTGAATATTTTAAGGCGCATGCATCAATAAACAACGTATTTTTGGATTTTGAACGAATGTTCTGGAGTGGCAAGAAAGAAATACGCCTTCTACTCCAAGCCTTCTACTCTGACCCTTCTACTCCGAGCCTTTGTATGCGAGCCTTACACTCTGACCCTTCTACTCCAAGCCTTCCACACCGAGCCTTCTACTCCGAGCCTTCTACTCCGAGCCTTCAACGCCGAGTCTTCTACTCCGAATCAGGATGAACGAGTCAGTCATTTAACATTTTTGTTAAATTTGGTAGAAAAATGTATCTAGTCAGGCGAATCACGTGACCAAACACCATGTTTACAAGGACGTCATATCCCGAGTCGAAAGATTTTTAAAGACATTAAAAAATAATGTTTTCATTTGTTTTGTATGTATAATGCACGAATGAATGTGGCCGCTGATGAGTGAAGTTCTGTCTGTAACCATGGCAACTGATGAGAGGAGTTCTGACTGTAACCATGGCAACTCATGTACTGTCTTTGTGTAAGCCACCAGTAAATCAACCGCGGAAGCCTCAACAATCTATTCGATGGGTATTAGCGGAAGAGAAGAACGTGTCTCATAATTAAGGATGTTAATCGATAATCGGATTTCCAGTTATCAGTTTTGAAACCAATAACCATTTTTGTTCTTTTCCACACAACGATAATCATTTTTAAAATGTAAGAAATGCGAATATAATTAAAAATATATTTTTTAAAAAAAGACTAGAACTTTTAAAATATAGACAGTGGTTATTAATATGTGGTATAAAAATGAGTGTTTTTAAAAGCAGTTGAGAACAGTTCTAAAAATAGATAAATTTATAACTGCCACTTTCGAGCTTATAAAATTGAATGTCAAGCTGACCTTGATTAACGGAACAAGTTGGAAAGCATTGTAAAATCGAATAACCGGTTTAAAACCGTTTTCCGAAATCCAACAACGGGTTTGCCAAAAAACCCGAAATCAAAATCTCTAAATTATAATAGAAGTTTTGTGGGGAAAAGGGAAGTGAGAAATGTTTATGTATCGTCCTTTTCTTAGTCAATGTTCATGAAATGCGAGATATCTAAATTCCACAGAACTCTCCAAACCTTTTGAATTATTGTTACGCTTGACTTGTCGCGATATCCTATTCGGATCGCCCTTGGTTTTATTAGTTAGCATTAGTTGTTGTTGTACTGATGAAGGCATGGGCCGAAACGTTTACTTGTGTATTAGGTATAGTTATTATTAAAGCTTAAATTATATCATGATACAAGCAAGACGAGGGCAAATTGTAGTGTCATACACTTCTTATTTTCCTTATACTCTCTTTTAGAACAAAGACTTAACTTTATAACATAAGGACAGCCTCCGGGTGGACTCCATAAATAACCTCTTAGTAGACGTATTAGTGCCATCTGCTCGCATGTCGCAAAGTGCCCGAGATTCAAGGCATCAGATGCGGATCAGATATAAAGATGACGAAAGTTGTACGCCCGATTTAGCAACTGCTCATAAATTATTTTAAATTCCATCTGTATGTACGCCTGTCTGACATATAAAAGCCGACATAGAATTAATTAAAATCTTAATGGCAATCATTTTTTCACACAAGGTTGGATCTAGAATTTGATCGTGTGGAAAAAAAAGAGGGGGGGGGCAATTCCAACCCTCCTACTCCATACCCCACTCCACTGATTCTCTTACTTCTACATCCCTGTGCGAATACCTTGCGACCGCCTCCCTCTGTTCTATAACAAGCTCTACTGATTGAATTCCAATGACCGTTCTAATCTGGGGTTAATGTGACGGACAGGCTCATTTTCTTCCCCCCCCCCCCCCCAAACGATGTCTTACTATTTTGGGACATCGTACCTGAATAGATCACTGCTTAAAATAGCCGCCGCTGACGTAGATATGAATGTCACACCTTTGGGCGTACCACGGCGTGGGCGACCCTGTCACGTGCTTTAAATTATCCGGCGAGGACATGCGTCAGCTTTACCCAGAACGCACTTGCGCCATGACGTCACACAGAAAAAAAAAACTGCGTCATATTTCACCGTTTATTTCATGAGATTCTATGTGACCCAGGGGTCATCATTATTCAATCGACCCAGGGGTCATCATTATTCAATCGACCCAGGGGTCATCCTTATTCAATCGACCAAGAGCTTCTTATGATTTTTATATTGTTTGTAAATAGGTCCCCCATCTTGTGACAGGCATTTTGCTGTCATAGCTTTAGTTGCATGGATTAATAGCACTGCCCCGAGTTTTCTTAATTTCATAGCATCTCCGACCAATGAGAAAATCGATTTGTGATTGATAAATATATGAAACTACAACAGCGTGGTATTTTGTACTGTTCGTGACTGCTGCCTACCCCAGTAATCGTTCTAAGTGCTCGGTGACGCTATAAATAGAATGCATTTATTCCAGTTCCAAATTGAAGGCGATGAGTGATTGCGAGATTCTTATGCCTCTGGAAGAAAGATTATTGTCTGCCCGCAGGGAAGGATGTTTGGTAGGTCTGGACTGCTTCCGCTTAACAACCGGGTCACACATTTTCTTTAATTACGTTAATAAACAAGCACACGAGCAGACGTGATGTCGAGTTGACAGGGAACTTCACCTGAGTGAATTTATTTCAAATGTTGCCAATTTGATGATTTTTAACATGGAATTACATTAACTTTTGTAAAGAGAAATTATATCTTTGTTGTTGTTGCTGCAGTTAGAATGCCAAGACATTCAAGCTTTAGATCTGATTGATTCTGTGTCATAATTTTTGTGTAGTGTTACAACAAGATCAATAGATGAGATTTTAAATGCTGCTCTCTTGAGGTCGTCGACATTTACAAAACTAAAAAAAAAAAAAATCTTATTGAAGTAAGCCAAAGTCTGCTCGAATAAGAATCATCGTGTTACAAACCTTTGATGACAAAAGTTGCATTTCCCTCGCATTTTGCTGAAAGCTGAAGTTTTTAAAAAGCGGTTATCTATTTCATCTTACCAAATATATATATATAGCGCTATAAGTTTTACGCAGCGTGTTCTTAATTAAAATTTAAGTAAATATGATTGATCGTAATTAACCAACATTTCTTGTGTCCTCTATCTCAACCAGATGTGACGCTGTTATTTAACTGACTGCTGTCATGGTCATTCTTCGGGACTCAACACTGCAGCATCAGTTCAAAGGGCATGAGCAGAATCTCCTGCAAGATTTCCCCTCAACACCGTGCCTGACTGAGCAGCGCCTGCGACCTTTCAAAGATTCAGATGGTGAGTTTATCCTAAAGGGGGACTACTCGACACCGGAACCTTCAGCCATGGCTGACGATAAGACGGTGGAAGATGCCATGGCGCCCACATGTCCAGCCAAAGACTCACCCGCCAATGCGGACGCCCATGAACCAACCGCAGCGCCATCAAGAAGCAAACGCAAGCTTTTAAAAACTGGTTCCAAGTGGTTCAACAAATCTTTTGACCAGTCAAGTCTGCAGCAGCCGACGGAAAATCCTCGACCCATGCGCAGACAAAATTCAGTGACGGACTTTTTCCAGAACATGCTCAGCAAGAGCAAGGCCCACCTTCAGGACATTTTCACTTCCAAACGAGAAAAACAAAAGCACAAAGCTACCCTCCGTGGAGATGACATCTCGCCTCAACTAGAAATGCAAAAATCTGAGACAACTGGGGCTGATGGCGGGATTTCACAGATTTCAGACATCGATTTTAAAATCAGCACCATGCACAGCTCTTGTCCCAGCATTGGTGGGGGTTGCGGTGATCCGAATGACCCCAGGCGAAGCAACCCTCGGATTAGCTTCGATCCCGATCCTTGCACCAGCACGAGACGCACGTCGTCACACTCAAGCCCTTCAACAGCCGCGAATGTGTTCGTCACCACGAGATCAGAGGATGGCGACCCCTTAGAAATGTTCAGTTCTCAACATAGGCCGATAGTGAAAAACCCAAGCCCCCATTTCATGACAGGACACGATACTTATCAGGCGTCGATATCGCCATCCCATCTGCCGTCACCCTCCCCGACTCGAAGGAAATCGATGCAATCTCCTTTAATTAGTCCGATCCGTTATCGTACGCCCAAGATAATGACTTTGCCCTCGCTCGATTCTCCGGACAGTGCGGACGATGAGGGTCGCGTTACGAGAAAGGTGTCAAGCGCCCCGGGCGGCAGACCCAGCGTGTGCAGCGCGCATTCTTTCCTGGAAACGGAAGATTCTTCCAGCAGAAGTAAGCGATCGTTGGTCAAGAGCAATTCAGACACGTTCGCAAAACTCACTTCAGATCCGCAACCTTTGGCCAAGGCGTCGTCCGATGGCAACTGTTTCAGGAAATGCTCGCCGTCGACGTCCCTGGCCGCGAGCATGACATCCAACGGGAATGTCATGATCAGTGTCACGGACTACCTTTTCTTGGGGAGTGTTGAGGCGGCGTACAACGAGCCGTTACTGTGTAAGTACGGCATCTCCTCCCTGATAGACATGACCAACACCAGCCCGGGTCTTGTTCCCGCCAACAAAAAATCTGACTGCCCTTGCGCATGCGCCCACCAAACTCACTTCCGCTCAAAACTGAACATCGGCGTCGATGACATTGAATGGGAGAATTTGGAACAATATTTCGGAGAAATTAACGCTTTCATCAACGGCGCCCGGAAAATGGGGCGCCGAGTTCTAGTATTCAGCTACATGGGTCAGTCTAGGGCGCCGGCAGCCGTTATCCAGCACCTTATGCAACATTTTAAGATGCCGTACCGGGACGCGATAAACATCGTTCGTGCCAAGCGGCCTAAGGTGAAACTCAACTCGGGGTTCGTCAAAGCTCTGTGCCGCCTGGAGAAGCGATTGGGGCTGCAGGAGACGGACAGTGCCTTGGCGGTCAGGGAGGCAACGCGGAGGGCGGAGTCGCCGAGGGTGTCCTGTGGTTCCGTGGAAGAGTTGGAAACATTGGCCGTGCCCCCCGTGGTCAGAGGTGCGTGGCTGGAGTGCTAAACATAGACGGAGTTCGGTGTTTCATGTACTTTGAAGGCGTTTGATGATTCAAAAGTTGAATAGGTAAACATATGTTAAATATTTATTTTTAGATTGAATGGACTCAGTTATGCCGATAGCTTTGTGTTTAATTTTTTTTGCCAAACTTTATTTGTATGTGTTGAAGCTGTATCTGGATGTTCTTGTTTCAAGAAACTCAATAGAACATTTCGATAAAAATTGGATAACGTTAATTTTGAGTTGATTCATATTTTGTAATATGTCATGAAACTCTAATATTATCAAATATTTATAAAAGGAAATGTAATGATATATACGTCGGACGCATTGGCTTGGTTTAAACAAGAGATTTTAAAAAGTTAAATGAAATCCGGAAACAAAATATTGTTTCGGATAAACTGATCTATTTTTAACTCAAACTTTTTCTTTATTGACAAGGTTTGTGCTATTTAATGAATGGAATCAAACTGAATGTCTGTCAGACATGGCCAAAACTTGCTATACAATTTTACATTGAAGTCGTCCTACGTCGGCCTGTCGAGATCTGCAGTTATGGAATGTTCCTTAACTCTACTCTGTCCATTACGTCATCTCCGTCTGATCCACGCACTTGAGTAAATGATAAATGATGTGTTCATTTTCTTATGACGCCAACATAAATATAGCAACAATCTCTGAGGTTCAATGAGAAATGATGGAGTCACGTCGTCATGTTTATATCAACATCATGTCAGATGACCTGGTGGACAACATGTCAGATGACCTGGTGGACAACATGTCAGATGACCTGGTGGACAACATATCAGATGACCTGGTAGACAAAATGTCAGATGACCTCGTGGAAAACATGCCAGATGACCTGGTAGAAAATATCTTGTTGGATGACGTCAATTATTGCTGTTTTACAAAAAATAAAAAAATATTTTCATTGAATTGTTTTGTTGTTATTTAGCTCCCCATTCTGTATCTAGGAAAATTAGAATTAATAGATTAAATGAAAACCGTAGATACAATCCCTCTAATAATTATATCAAAGACAATCCACCTGTTTAATGAAAAAACACAATCACTTTCAATTTAAGCTTTAGAAAACCTAATCTTTACGTCAAACCAAACACAAACTTAACTTTAATATACAAAATTTATATTAAATCTTTCACAAACTTTATATTAAGCCATATTAAGGGGTATATTAAATCTTGACATTAAAAAGATATAATCTTTACATGAAACCAAAAAAAATCTGAACCTTAAGTAATTTGAATTTTTAAAATCAATTTGAAACATAATAACCTTCTCAACCAATGCATATTTCCCACCCCCACCCACCTCATTCACCTCCGACAAGTGTACGTTGATGTGTAATCAATAAAACATCTTGCATGTCCATTGATGTACACACCGCGTACACAACAATCAATAAAACTCATATTTTAAGCACAGCGTCAATAGTCAAAGTGGATTTTAATGTAACACTCAATGCCCTGAATTTATTTCTCATTGGAATTGAACATATTTACGAAAACGGACATATATAATGACATCAACCTATGACACCTATACCATACACATCATTAGGAAAACTATACAATACACCAACATATGACAAGTATACCATAAACAAACTACGACAACCATACAATTCACCAAACTATTACAATTATGGTCGCTACTGCGGGCTCTCAGTGGCATGGCACCATGATCAGATTTTGTAAAACAGAAAAGTCACTTGACACTTTCAAACTTGACTGTGTGGCTGACTGAAAGAAGTTTGGGAGAAATTAAGCTGGGGAAACAATTTCTATGCCATCAACTAACTGGCAACTCATTAACTCCCTCCCCCCCCCCTCCAAAAAAAAATAAATAAAAAAATCAAAAATAAAAATCAAAAATAAAAATAAAATGAAGACACTTTCAAACTTGACTGTGGGGCTGACTGAAAGAAGTTTGGGAGAAATTAAGCTGGGGAAACAATTTCTATGCCATCAACTAACTGGCAACTCATTAACTCCCCCCCCCCCCCCTCCAAAAAAAAATAAATAAAAAAATCAAAAATAAAAATCAAAAATAAAAATAAAATGAAACTGTACGGTCCAAACCATTGTTTTTGTAGACTCAACAGTTAACAGTAAAAACTAGTCGATCACATTTTTGTTGTTTCTTGGGGTTGTGAGTTGATTTTGTGGTTTTTATCTGGGTTTTGGGTCATTAACGGACAGAGAAAGTTGGAAGTTAAAATTCTAAAGGTTTTGAACTGTTTTAAAAAAAAAAACTCCTAAAATTTGATGACGATAATCATCTGATGGTCTATTGGTGTAAATAATGGTGTAAATAGTCCTCTCATGGTCTACTGGTGTAAATAGTCCTCTCATGGTCTACTGGTGTAAATAATCCTCTCATGGTCCACTGGTGTAAATAATCCTCTCATGGTCCACTGGTGTAAATAATCCTCTCATGGTCCACTGGTGTAAATAATCCTCTCATGTTCTACTAGTGTAAATAATCCTCTCATGGTCTACTGGTGTAAATAACCCTCTCATGGTTTACTGGTGTAAATAATCCTCTCATCGTCTTAAGGGCCGTCCACAACTTACGTCACGCTACTTTTGCTCATTATTGTATACCCCCTCCCCCGGTTAAAATCGGTGACACATCTCGGACCCCCACCCCCTAAAGTACTTCACATTTCCAAATATGTAACAAAATCCACAACTCATTATATAATTCAATCTAAAAACATGCTTCACTATTAAAAGTATACACTACCAAATGACATCTTCTGTCAGAATACACCCAACACAACAGAAAGCTAAAAATCACTGTTAATTTCAGTTTGCTTTTTTTTATGTATGATAAACAAACATAAATGTGTGACGTCAGATATAAATCTAATATTACCCCCCCCCCC